ATGTATGACATCCCCGGAACAAAATAATCCGTTTCACTAATGTTTACAAGGAGGAGCAATTGCTCTGTTCTAAAGGATGAAACTTTTATGAGCGACTAACAGTTACCAAATACGTGGAGTTCATGTTTGATGAACTAATTCTCTTCACCTGTGTTACACGCTTCAATCCACTTGAATTTGTGCTTGGTGAAATGTGATGAAGTTATGATTCATTAGTCAACTTTATATCTGGGGTATCAGGAGTCTGGACATACGAGGTGTGATTAAAAAGTTCGTGCACTAACGCCGCCACGCGCGTCTGACTAGAGGAAGACTTATTAAGTCTAGACGGCATGAAAACCTGCTTAATCCTGCACGCCATGCCCCTCACACCGTTCTCATGTGGTGCGTCAACGTTACAGTCAGTTGTTGAGTCCAGGCGTGTTTTTATTTATTTGGCAGATTTTACGGTGCCAAAATGATCGAAAAGTTTGAGCAAAGAATTTGCATCAAATTTTACTGCAAAATTGGGAAATCTGCTATGGAAACCATTGAATTGTTAAAAACAGCCTTTGAGGACCGCGTTTTCGGCAAAAGTGCCGTTAGTATGTGGTATGCTAAATTCAAAGATGGCTGGGAATGGTCCGGGACCGGGAGGACAGGTCCAAGATGACCATGGAGCTGGACGTCCATCCACTTCAAAAACTGCCTGCAACGTCGGACGAGTGAGAGATCTCGTGCGTAGCGATCGCCGATTGACAATGAGGAAGATAGAAAATGACCAAGAATTGACGTTTTACGCAGTTCAGTCCATCGAAACTGAAGATTCGCAGATGAGGTGCTTGTCTGCTAAATTCTTTCCGATAACCCTAACCGAAGACCAGAAATGACAACGCGTGGAAGTGTGTCAGAAACAGCTGAACCCTTACCGAAATACCCTATATAAAACCTATAGTTATTTCTTATAGGAAACCTATAGAATATCCTATAGGTTTTTGAAACGCGAAAAACCTATAGGATCCCTATAGGGGTCTTATAAGTCTCCTGAACTATAGGATTCAGAGAGGATAGTTTGCGTTTCGAAACCCAGGCATTACGACGGAAAAGGCGACAGGGGTTAATATTGGTGCAGCATTTCGGTGTAACTCAAAATCCGATTAGGGATTTTTCCATGGTAGGGACACATGCATTATTTATACCAGTAATGCGAGGGTGTGCATAAATTATGGCCCCGCCCCACATGTGTCGCTGGATTGCACGTCTACTTCCTTCGGTAGGAAGAAGTAATATTTTTCTCTCGATCTAAAGAAAAACTTAAGATAGAACCTGCAAGCACGTCTCTTTGCTGAAACTCCATTTGGATAGAGTCTACTCGGTTTCGTACGTGAATTTCAAAAGGAATGAGGGCATATTTTTTCACGGGACTCCATGATTATATCTGGAAAAGGGGGATTACAAATATGGAACTGTCGAAGTTTATTGATTGCTACAATGAGGCAAGGCGAGACATTTGGGGACATACAAAACTCTCTTTGAGAGATGATTCCTTGGGTAAGGGGAGGGCACTTTTGTGCCCTTTGAGAAATGTGAGAACCCGATACTTCCCGATATTTTTTCACGGGACTCCATGATTATATCTGGATGATGGAGATGACATATAAGGACCTGTCGAAGTTTAATGACGTTAAGTTACAGAAGCTCTATTCATGAAAACTTCGTAAGAATGCGATATTCTTACGAACTTCGTACGAACACCGTATCTTTGGTATTCACCAAACTTCGTAAGTCCTCTACTCATTCTTACGAGCACTGTGTGTATTCATGAAATTGCGTAGCAATGATAATGAGCCAGCCAATCATACCCGAAATCGGGAACTACCAAACCAATTCTGAGTAGAAAACAACGTGGACCTCACGCTTGCAGCATGACTCATGAGTCCCCATACCATATGCGCATCATGCAAACTTTCTGCGCATTCCGTTCAGCTGTTTTTGCTCTTACAGGATGCTTTAATACGCCTGGAGATCCTATCGAATCTTGGAAAACACCCTAAAAGACGATATCCAGTGAATCTCAACGTAATAAAAACTACCTTAAGGTTTCAGAAATACCCTAGGAAAAGTACGGAACGCAATATTAACGTTCGTATCATTGAGAGCAAAGGAGAGAGTGGTCGACGACCGAATTTCATCAGTTTGAAAACTGGGATTTTCATCGAAGGAGTCAAGCGAAAGAGGAATGTCTTACTAAAGATACTCAGCTCAAGCGTTGTTGGAAAAATGGAATTGCCAGCATCGGATTTAGAGATTGAGGCAGTGAGCTGACTGTTCTCTGTACGGAGAAATGCCAAAAAAGCACTCCTTAAAATCTAATTCATGGACATGAAGTGACGTGCAAAGGCGCCCTTACGCAAATGTCTTATAGGATTCCTATATATTCCTAAAGGAATATATCGGAATCCTATAGAAATCCTATAGGAACCTAAAGGAATCCTATAGGATCCTATAGGATCCTACATGCCCATAGAGTTCAGATTGGGACCAATAGAGTTCCCTATAGAACCTATAGGATTCTCTATACGACCTATAGGGTACCCTATAGGGCTTATACGGAACGCGATAGGCCTATAGGGTTCCGTTTGAAGTTCTCCTCTAGGCCATTAGATGTAAGTATTGGGTTCTCACATTCCTCAAAGGGCACAAAAATGCCCTCCCCTTACCCCAAGGAATCATCTCTCACAAGAGAGTTTTGTACGTCCCTTAATGTCTTGCATTGCCTCATTGTAGCAATCAATTAACTTTGACAGTTCCCTATTTGTCATCCCCATCATCCAGATATAATCATGGAGTCCCGTGAAGAAATATGCCCCTATTATTTTTGAAGACCACGTACGAAATTGAGTAGACTCCATCCAAATGGAGTTTCAGTAAAGAAACGTGCTCGCAGGTTCTGTCTGCTATTTCTTTAGGCCGAGAGAAGAATGCCAATTCTTCCTACCGAAGGAAGTAGATGTACAATCCAGCGTCGCATGAGGGGCGGGGTGCTAAGTTATGCAGACCCCCGCAGAACTGGTCTTAATAGTGCATGTCTCCCTACCATGGAAAAACCCCTAATCGGTTCTTTGATTTACACCGAAATGCTGCGTCAATATTAACTGCCTAGGTTTCGAAACTCAAAATATCCTCCCGAATCCTTTAGGTCAGGAGACCTATAAGACCCTATAGGGATCCTATAGGATCCTAAAGGATCCTATAGGTCTTTCGTGTTTCAAAAACCTGTAGGAAGGTCAATAGGTTTCCTATAAGAAATAACTTTAGGTTTCCTATAGGACATTTCCGTAAAGGCGGAAGGAGTTCAGTTTCTCAGGGAGAGTAGCAGGACTGGCGCTAGATATTTCCCACTATCCGATCTCTGTCGAAAGATTTTTCAATGTTTGAGGGGAGAAAGGCTTTGGCTGGAGCATGAATGTGAATGAATGTGACACACGAAGAACGAAGTTTCGTCTAGTCGATTCGTGCTACCGTGCACGTGAAATCGAGCATGCAAAAAAACATCCCGATCAATCATCGCAAACCGGCACTGGGCATGACCCATCGCGAAATTTCGTCTGAAATCTCGTTGTTAGCTCTTTCATCAGCGTATTATATACCTCTTAACTCACCCTTACGGAAATGTCCTATAGGAAACCTATAGTTATTTCTCATATTAAACCTATAGACTTTCCTATAGGTTTTTGAAACGCAAAAAACCTATAGGATCCCTATAGGGTCTTAGGTTTCCTGAACTATAGGATTCGGGGACGATGTTTTGGGTGCCGAAACCCAGGCATTATGATGGAAAAGGCGACCGGGGTTAATATTGGCGCAGCATTTCGGTGTAAATCAAATACCGATTAGAGGTTTCCCCATTGTGTGGACGCTTGCATTATTAATACCAGTACAGCCCACGTCTGCATACTTCATGCCCCGGCCCACATATGTCGCTGGATTTCGCGTCCACTTCCTTCAGTAGAGAAAAGTCTTATTCTTTTCTTAACCTAAGGAAAAATAAAACAGAATCTGTCTATTTACAGAAACTCCATTTGGATAGAGTCTACTCATTCTCGAACGTGTATTTCAAAGTGAACAAGGGCATATTTCTTGTCAGGACTCCATGATTCTATCTGGAAGATGGGGATGACAACGGAAGTGTCGAAATTTATTGATTTCTACATTTAGGGAAGATGAAACATTTAGGTATGTAAAATACTCTTTTGTGAGAGATGATTTCATGGGTAAGGGGAGGGCACTTTTGTGTCCTTTGAGAAATGCGAGAACCCAATACTGTGAATATTCACAGCGAAATGAATCATTGGTGCGGATCAAGGCATGGCATGAACTACCCTGGTTACAATCCGGTATACGGTTCATTTATGGAAATGACTTTGGAATGGGATGTTGTAGGGTACAGAGTCAAGTCAGGCGGCGAAAATGACTGGTGTTACGCTTGATACAGTGGACTATTGCTGCTACAGGAGCCCATTACTTGAGTGAAACTTTGGGAATGAGGAAGGTTATGTATCATAAAAGAATTTCCAGAGTAGATATAGAGATGTAACCAAACTGCTGAAGGTGTCTTGTGTGATTAAAAACCTAGTTGCTGCTTTTTAGCCAGCCTCGACGCTCTCTCCTGTGCTTGATGAGCGGTAATATTCTGCTGAAAGGTAGTACATTGTTATGTTCATATTTCACAAAGTAATTTTACGTTAATCAAATGCGGTTCATACAGATGTGGTATTTACTGATTCTTTTCTGGAGGGCGGGCGGCATTTCATTTTTAAGCTCTTTCATTCCTTGTTTCTTCGTCCAATTTCGCCTCAGATGAAAAATCGTTCAGTTCATGTTAGAAAATAATCTGGAAATGATGGCATTGATCTACATTTCCTATCCTCCCGATTTGTTGCATAGTAGTAATTGGCTGGTCAGTTGGCACATGTAATATTCATATTTGGGCACGTGGTCGTTAACCGATTCTGACAATACTAAATGGAATATGATACGTATTCACATGAGATTAAAACGTGAATGAGGACCTTGGCTCTGCGATGCAATGTGCCATAGTGAAGACGTGCTTTGCGACCACGGATGAAGGCTTGGAATTGGATGACCCAAGAACGGAGTCTCTGGTACTTTCGTTGAGAAATGAAGGTCCTGACAATTTTCTGGATCTTCTTTGCAGCTCGTTCTCGACGGATGTCTTCAGCAATTCTAGATGTGGATAGGAAAGTAAACCTACGAATGATGGTCCTTGATAATATCAATTGCATATATGAATTGTTTCACTTTTTCCTTCCGAAGTTTCCCAGCTATTTGGCAAGAAATTCATATGATAGCACATTTTACAAGGATTGCTCACTTCCGTGCAAGAAGTCCACGCCCACAGGTTTGGAGGAAGAGTACTGTTTCCTTGATATGTTTGAACTTACGACGGGCTGAATAACCCTTGAAATGTCTTTGGATCACCACAACCTGTAGCCAAAACTAGAGTTGTGAATACACTTAAACACAGAAAATGAGCTCATTCAATCCATTGCAGGATAAGAAAAAAAACCTTGGCATTGCGAAGTAATTTTCCATGGTGAAGACGGGCATTGTGAGCACGGATGAGCGTCTGTAATCGGATGACTGAAGCACGCAGCCTCTGATATCTTCTCTGGCAAATGAAAGCCCTCACGTTTTTCTGGATCTTGATGGCGGCTCGTGTTCGACGGATTTTCTTGGCCAGTCTGTATGTGTGCAGAAATGCAGTTTTACCGCTGTTTTCTTTCAAAAAATCACGTGACAACTAGAGAAGTTACACTTCTTCAACAAGTTATACTAAGACGACAAACTCACCGGCGTGCAAGAAATCCACGCGCAAATGTTTGTAGGAGGAGAACAGATTGCTTCACCTGCTTGTACTTTCGTCGAGACAAATAACCCCGGATAATTTTCTGAATGAGAATGTGGCACGCGAGAATGCGATCTGATAGACACTTTTCCATGTTTGCCAAGGCATTGGCTCTGAGAAACAGTTTTGTCTTCCCAAATTTGTATGCCTCTTCATCCTTATGATGTAGAAAAAGCAAACCAAAGAAATCCATCAACGAAATGATCGATGTTGTCTCGAGGTGAAATGAATGACTCCAACCTGCATGATCCTCTGAATGATTTTGATGCAGGATGTTTTGTAAACTGACGGATCTTCCGTCAAGTCGAGGAATCCAATATCTTTTGAATTGATGAGAACTCGAAACCGCAAGAAGAACTCTTCGTAGGGCCAGCTGATGGAAATAAATTCATCTTGTATTAGAATATCATACCATTCGCTCAACGCAATCACTGGTAACTAAGGCAAACTTGTAGGGAATCCAGCAACCAATTTAGAACATCTGTATTCGTTGTAAATGAAAGATTGAAACATTTTAAGATAAATAACGCCTGAATTTGAAAACGAAATAAGAAAATGTTTGAGACCTTGAGGGAAACCCGAGTGTTGAGATGCGTATCGTCTCATACACGCCGCACGCTCGGAGTTGCTGAGTGACATGTTCTTTGTCAAAAAAGGATGGATTCTTGTTTCGATTGGGTTTGATACACCTCACGTAATGCGGAGTTGTGGCATTCAATGCGTTCATCAGCTGATTAAGGGAGTCTCGGAACTGCGAGCCCACCTGCCCAAGGGAAGAACAAGACCCCAATGCAATGATGATAACCTCAATAACCTCATAACCTCAACAAGACATGGTGCTGCCTAATGCGGAATGCAGACTGTATGTTTGAGATGTTTTGATGCAGGAGAGACTTCGGTTGTTGAAGCCTTGCCGATAGACGTAGAGGTTCCTGGTGGCATGGGCGCTTGTCTCTTCTTAGATTTTCCTGATCTCTCCTCTTCACTGAGGAACATCTCTGCCACGTATGCATCCTGGAAATGTTCCACCAATTAAGAGAGAAATGCTCTGATTATGGCGGGCCTGCTGCCGAGAGCAATCTGCAGCCAATCGAGATCTTGAATCATGTATAACAAGGGAAAGAGTCTCTGTGTTGGGAGTCCCCAATGCAGTGAACAAGCTGGATTGAAAACCTGATAATCTACTTTCCCTATTTTCTCCAAGTCTTTTGTATATCTACAGTATATCTCATAAGTTTCAACAATAATAGCACGAATTTCTAAGCATACTTCGGACCAAAATTGTTCTGCCTGTAGAAGTTTTATTACTGGGAAATCATTCGCTCAGGGATACAACTATTCATGATTAACTTCGTAATGTTGGCATCGTTGGTGCGTAATGTTGGTAATGTTGGCTGAATGTTGGCATCCAAACCTCTTGATTTTGCTGCAATTATTTTAAAGTGACACGATCAGTGATGGAGCTTAATAGCGCATGATTTGTCTCCATGAATGGATTATGCTATTCCTGGCCTACTATCCACCTACGCGCGCAGTCGATTGGACATCCTTTTAAGGTATCGCAAGTAGCTTCAAGCCACTCTGTGTTATTTCTACAGTGTTTCATGGTTACTCTTTCGCGATAATATCTCATACGGGGTGATTGGGTTGTTATTTTCACCCTGTCCTTCTCTAGTGTAGAAAGTGGATGAGGACTTCCAACAATTTGGTTCTGGTCCACTAAGAATCGCATGCTGGAGGAGAATCATGCTTCAAAGTATTAATAGCTTAAGCAACGTCTGAGAAGAGGCATTGCATTGTGGGGAAACATGTTTCTCGACAATGCAACACCTTTCGTATCCTCCTCGCACCAGACAAACTCGATGATGTTTTGGTTGCTGCTCATTTCTCATAGTAAAATAACAATACCCCATAAATCGGCCGTCCTCCTTGAGTATTAGAGACTTTTAGTTACACGTTTTTGAGGAGGACGGGCACACGAACGAATTACAAGGCAATCAAGTTCTAGATTTTGGAATGGCAGTTTGGCTACGCGTTCCAGATCTCGAACGTCGAGTAACATCCACGGATCTCACCTCAGGTGGTAATTTAAGGGTATGGTCGACTCAGTGATACACAGCTGAGGTACGACCTGGTAACCTCACAAATCCACAGATATCCATTTTACGCATATTCCAGTTATTTTGATCTGCAATTAAATGTACTTTCCTTATGAGGGGTTTTCACAATGTGAATGTATTTCTCAGTTTGCCTATTGGATTAACGTTTTTGATTACTTTGTCTGTTCATCATGGTCGCATTGCAATCCTTGGCTACAACCAGAGTCCCTCTGTCCTATTTTCCCGTTATTCACCATCCCCAATAACATATTATGCTTCCTTTCTGTCAGTCTCTCATGGCAAAGTAACCGAAGTTCATGTCTGGGTCGCATCCTGCTTCTCTGATGGCGAAGAGGACATGTCAGATTCTTTCCTGAGAGATATTTGGCTAAAACCCAAGTTGTACCGTAGATGTGAGACAATTGTCCAGAAACCCATCTCGAGAAAAACGTACATTTCTATCAGTCGGGAAACCCTTGCCGCATACGCGAAACAATTGTCTAGAAATCCAACCGGGCATACTGAGCCTTGAATTTCAGCTGCTTCGCAACAATAGTAGCTTTCCCTCCTGGATGACTGACTTGAACGAATCACTCGTTGTACCGAAGCTCACGCGCCTATCAAGTCGTTCCTGATTGGTGGATTTTGCGTCGCTATCACGTTCCTGCGAGAACGGCTGGAAGAGTTCCTCCACGTCTTAGACGTCTTCCTGACGCGTTTTGAAATGCAGGTGACGTCACCAGTGACGTCAGCCGTTATACATCCCTTGCCATCCTCTCAAGAATGGGTAACCAAAACTCTCTATTATCTGTGAAAGCAGCAATCCCACGACTTGCCTCTGAAAAAGAATTCTCTTTCAGTCTCCCTCAAATTAATCGACATACTCCCTAGTCCCCTTTGGATTAACTTCATGTTCATCACATGAATATGGTTTTCCCGATTGCTGAACATCTCTTAAAAACTTGTTTCTTCAGATATCGACTGAAGAACTGAATGGAGAAGGCACGAACTTAGATCAGACAGGGAAGATGGGCTGTGAAAAATCGTTGCTTTTGGTGACGAGTCGTGGTTCCGCTTGATTTGATCTGTAGAAGTATTTTTGTTGACCACTATGGAAAGTTTTTAAGAATACTTTAGAAGAGGACCGTCAACTTCGAATGCTAGAACATATGAAAAAGATGCAATTTTGCGAGCTGACTTTTTTGTTTCTTTTACATTGCTACAAAAATATTTAGTAGTGAAAGTAAACGTACATCACTGTCTTTGACCACCTCAATAAGTTCTTCATGCACTATATCCCGGTTCTTATCAAGGAATCCTTCGCACTCATATTCCACCTTGCCGGCAAAGTGGGAAATAAGAAAGGCAGAGTTGGAAAATTTTGGCTTGATGAAGTGCTGCTGCTTCTGGCACTCGTCGTAAAGCTTCCCGACCCAGGACTTGTCCGAGCCATTCGGCATCCGACACTCTTCGTCCAACAATGATAGGATTCCCAGAGGTTTCCCTTCGATCAGGTCGATGCAGGGCTGATTGTCGTAAAAGTCGATGGACTTCCAGTCTATCTCCTCACGCGAGTATTCTTCTTGCTCCAATACAAACACTTGCTGCAGGGAATTTCTTATGAATATCTGGAAACTCATACAACTTCAGGAAACACATGTTTCTGGAACAACTTCATTGGATTCGGTAACTAAGGCTAGAGGAAGGAAATGTATTTATTTCGCCTAAAAAAAGGTTGTATTCTCTTACCAAAATGAAGGAAGCAAGAAATCATCTGCAACCTCGAAGCATGTTAGCAGCCGAATAACTATCCTGTGTTCATGACCGGTATTGCTTAGCACAAAATATTCTGAGATAGGCAATGAGCGAAGCTTTTTGCATGGATAATTCCAGCAATCCATTGAGATACTGGGGGCAGTCGATCTGAAAGGCCTTCTGGTAATATAAAAGCATAAAGTTGACTGTCTCACATATCATAGGCACTCATGAGAACAGCAGCAAGTTCATGGCCTCTCAAGTTGTTCTTACGAGTCAGGAACAACAATCTGTGATTAGTATTCTCTATACAGAGGATGAAACAATCGCACATTCATGGAATAAATATGTCAGTGTACGGATCAAGCTGCACGACAGCTAAAGAAAAGTGTGCGAGTGCGTGAAACGGTCCAAAAACACATGTATAACGGCCGCCGGAGAGGAAAACCTTGGATAACCTGTTGAAATGGCAAGTTTGTGGAACAGTACACGAGCGAAAGTGCCTATTTTCCAAGAGAGAAGCATTGGCAATACCAACATATGTGGATGTGGCGAGATGAGCATTCACAATGGAACGGTCCTTGGGATCATTCACGAGAGGGTGAAATTTAGGCAGGATTTAGCTCAGTGGATTCCTATATTGCCCACTGTTAGGCGCAAAAAACGCAATTCCACGTATGGAGATAAATGTATATTGTTTAAAAGTAATATTAATAATTTGAGTAGGAACGAAATGTGCTCATGGCTGCATCATCGCATCTATCGAAACTTGGATGCATCACTTCGGTGTGGACAATAAAAAGCAGAACTCGAAATAAAAGCTCTGCGGTTAAGGAATATTCAGGACAGATATTGAAGTTGAGAAACAGCTCATGACTGCCTTGTGGGACAAAAAATGATCAGTTCTGAAGGTTTATTAGATCCATGGACCAGCTATTAACGTTATTCGAAAGTAGCTTATCAGATTTCTCTGATATATAACTTCATGCGCCTTCTTCAGAGCGCAACTAAAGTGGTATTGAAACAAAGGTATAAACTTCATGTTCACACGAAATGTCTTTAGTTCAGATGTTCGCCACCGTCTACGCATTTACTGTGGAAGCCAAAATGGTAACTGTCATTGTTGCAGTAAGAGCAAAGTGCCTGTTTTTGTTTGTGGAAACACCTCCTACAGCGCAGCAAGACTGCTCACCTCTGCGATTTCATAGAGATGTTCGAGAATTGTTGGATAGGTAAATCCCAGATCCGTGAATTGGACGCATGGGTCCGATGCGTCCAATTCAGCGACCGGGTTTGACCAAGGACAAGGTTTACCAGCCACCACTGCCGTCAAAAATGAGCTGGACTGAGAGAAAGGATCACTGTGGCCGCAACCCTAGTCTCACCGGACATGCCCCAATATGTGTGGAATGAAATTGAGCATCAGTTGGATATCGATCTCGTCACTTTCGGCTGTCACATTGAATTGTGATGATTGCGGGTGGTAAAACTTTAGTTTTATTAGCTTGTACGCTGTTGTTTCAATACCATCTTCTTTGCGCTGCGAAGAAGGCACATGAAATTCTTAGTCGCAGAAGTTGCATAGCTACTTTTGAATAACCCTGTGTTGTTGATAAATTGTTCCCAGTCATTCCAACAGGAAATGTAGAATGAAACTAACCTGACAGTACTGCTGCTGCAGCTTCTCATTAGCATAGTTGATACAGAGCTGCTCAAAGCTATTTCTATCGAAAATTTCAAACCCATAGATATCCAAGATGCCAATGAAGCGAGCAGGGGAAGATCCACGGGTAAGGTTCTTGTTGATGAACTCCACGATGAACGCAAACTGGGTCATATAAATATGCTTTGCGAAAGCGTCCCTCGCGAAGACTGCTTCTGACGACGTCATTGGTTTCTGAAACACTTCGCGTCGTTGCACAATACGTCGGTTTGTCAGACATTTCCTCAATCTTTTTTGATCCACACGCAGCAGGTCGCACACGATGTGGAGATGAGGATCATCTTCCTGCAAGGAAAATAAATATGTATCTGAAATACATATTTATTGGAAAGTATCGACGTGGATGAGGGCAGGGAAGTGCACGTTACGTTTGGAAGGGAACTAACTGCAGTTGCGCTAAATCTAGTAGAAAATGAACTCGTTATCGTCACAAGTTCCTTTTTAAAAGCAATTCTTCCAAGATTCAGCTTCTTTTCTCATAACCATGGCATTGTCAGCATTATAGGCTAAACCAAGGCTGAAGGAAGACATGCATGTATTGAACCGTGACAATAACGAAGGCTATACTCTCCCCATATTTGAATTGCTACTGACTCCATTTTTGGCAAATAACTGTTGAAAAAAAATTTTTTCGGAAATAACCCAAAGGATTAATTCATTTTTAAATGTCTATTAGTTGGCTTCAATTCCGGCAGACGACAGAGCCGGAAAGGCGAAGGAGTGGTCACACAACAGCACTGGATGACGAAACTGTGTTGTATTCGATTGAGAGTCTTTCCAAACAAGAGAAATAATTTCATCATCATCATTTCATTATCATCATATCATCAACTTGGTTGAGCTTATTATTATTTATTTACTAGCTAGTAAATAAACTCGCCATGGTCGCGCCTTCGGCGCTCCATTACCTTGGATAGTGATTAATTCATTTATTCTTTGTAAAGTGGCAAACACGTATGTAAAGTACGTCCCTATTGAAATACGTGACATATGGGGACGAAAGCCTTCATTTTTATCAAAATCATTACTTCTTATTTCTATTGTGCCTACCTTGAAATCTTTTCATGTATCCCTTTTTGTAAGGGTGGAGAATACATTTTACAATACTTCCCTCCTATAATATACGCTAATGGGGCATATCTCAAAAGTAGGAAAAAAAATACTCAGCCATCAAATAGGTATTTCTGAGGGAATTTTAACATTTCTGTCTCTGTTTCGTTGGATCAAAAAAATAATTCGGGAAAATGGGACTTGAAAAAATGCCATGATGAGTTTTAACCAGCTTCTTTTTCTTCTAAAATGTAGACTCAGGGAACTCCATGCCACCCAGTTTCAGCCTTATACGTCTCTCCTTTTTACTGGCGGTAAAATAAAATATTTGGAAAAACGACCCACCCGAAAACTGCTCTGAGGAGACGCACAGCAAAAGTAGTACTTTTCCTTAAAGCAACATCACGCCCGTTATGCGTGCGCCTGCTACTATTTTTCTATTTCTGCCCGATTCGCTTGGATATGAAAAATTATTTGAAAACATGACGTCCCCCAAAAATATCCCCCCTAAATTCAAGTATTTTGGAAATTTGACATTTTTCCTGAGGTCAGTGCGTCAGCAGCCACGTTCTTGCCAGGTTTCAGCTTTCTATGCGACTCCGTTTGATTGAAGCAAAGAGAACTATTTGAAAATATGTTCCCCGAAAAGGTGTGCCCCTATGGCATCTATCACCCTATGGCAAGTATAATTTTCCCTCAACTCCGCATGCGAATAGCGACTTATGTCAGTCAAAGCAAAGAGAACTATTTGAAAATATGTTCCCCGAAAAGGTGTGCCCCTATGGCATCTATCACCCTATGGCAAGTATAATTTTCCCTGAACTCAGCATGCGAATAGCGACTTATGTCAGTCAGCTACTCACCATCCTCTATATGTAATAAAAGTTGCATTTTTTCTTTACTCAGCTATCCATCACGTTCTTCTTTCGCAAGTGTAAACTTTCCAGCGCCCTCTCTTTCGCTGGATCGAGAAAATACGCATTTTGCAATATATGTGCCCTCAGGCGTTTTAACCAAAAAGTACTTTTTTTTCCAAAATCAATCCTCAGAGAACTACATGCCCACAAAGTTTCAACCTTATACGTTTGCCCCTTTCGCTGGTAAAAAAAAACATGTTTGGAAATGCAAACGCACCTAAAAGCTATGCCAGGAGGGGATGCACCATGAAAGCTCAATACTCCCTCAACTCAATGATGATAATATTATGTCACTCATGCGGGCGCCATGTTTCACCTTTCCATTTCAGTCCAATACCCCATGCAAAATTTTTTTTTAATATCTCCCCTTGAAAAAATTTCCCAGGGATTTATTGAAACTTAATATTTTCCATTAACTCCTTGCCTTAGTAGTCACATTCATGCAAAGTTTCAACTTTCCATGTTCATCAATCTAACTGTTTCAACTTTCCATGTTCATCAATCTAACTGATGCAAAGAAATTAGTTGAAAACATCTCCCTTTGAAATTTTTCCCCCGGGCGCATTTACTTCCAAATTCTGAATTTTTCAACAGGTAGTTACACGCCAAGTTTCACCTTTCCACACCAGCTCAATACACCAAGGCAAAAAAAAATTTCGTGAAAACGTCGGCCCCTAAAAATATGCCCCCACAGAGCATGGATCTTAAATTTTACATTTTTCCTGAATTCATAGTCTCGGTAGACATGTCCATGCCAACTTTCAGCTTTCCATGTCTCTCCGTTTTACTGAAGCAAAAGCATTATTACGGAGGGGGAATGAACAACTCGACTTGGAAGGCGTAAGATGCTGAAAGAAAGCCAAGGGACGGCTGGGAATTGAACCCGGGCCTCCTGATTGCCGGTCAGGTGTGTTACCATAACACCACCGATCTCGGAACATCTTTTCAATACTCTCGATGCCATCCTAATCCGTCACATCATATGTCCTTAAAAACTTCTCCTCCCAAAATGTGTACCCCCAGGGCATGGATCTCCAAAGTCGAACCTTTTCTGAACTCTGCATCCCAAAAGGTAAATTTGTACCAAGTTTCAGATTTCTAACTTCTCTAGAACATGGTTAGAATTAGCGTCAGTCAGTAACGATCGTCTATATATATTAGATGAGACCATGGTCCGGTTAAATATACAGATTGATCCAATAAAGTTTTCCATTCCTTCTCAAATCATAATTCTATTAACCATTAACCATTACTTCCCATATTCCATTTTCTATTATTTATTCTCGCTTTCATTTGACTGACTGATAATTTCAATGAATCGAGGCTCTATATTTTGATACGCTCCCGCCACTATGACCGCCATATACTAACTAAAACCTGGACCGAACTATTCTGTCATGTCAGGTTTTGTCATGAACATGTAGGTGGTCATTTTGGAGTGTGATGTAAAAAGAAAACATGTCAAGACTTGATTAAGCATGGTACTAAATTTAAGGTCCCTAACCTAAGTGCTTTGTTATGGATAATCAGTATTTTTTTGGGAAAACCTTTTTTGATCACCCAGTATACATCTTGCTTCAAGAGTAAAAAGTTATTCTAATCATCATCCTCAGCTGAAGACTCGGTATCCGAAAATGGTGGCTGCCCGACAGCTTCCCCTGTCGATTTTACCTCATCTTCTTCTATTCATTCCTGGATTTTTACTACGAGTTGTACTTCTTCTTTTAATGTTTTAGACTCGCAGGTGAAACGCTTCTCCAGAATCTCCAAGAGTGACAATGCGACAATGGTGACTACTGGTGACACTCAACACTCACGTGCAAGCCGCATCACTGTTGTGGTTTTTGAGAATTCTCAATTCTTAAGCACTGTAATTGGGTTGTCAATGGTTTATTCTTTAATTCTATTAACGCGCTTCAGTAATGAGTCTTAAAACCTCCATAAAATGTAAAAATATCGCATTTTGTTTCCTATCATAAGAGGGAACGGTTAACGCTTCCGTTCCTAAAACGTGTAGTTTTTTGACACTGGAAGAAATAAAGTTTCTACCTACGCTCTTAGGCTGCGCGATTTCCGAGAAACGGATAAAAAACGGGAGTTATTGAATTTAATCCCTAAAAACAAGGCAGTAATGCCGCTCACCCTTCTCTTCACTGAGTATAACTACTAATGTTTTCTACTAGTTTGAAAAGTACTCTCTCTCCTTCGTTTCATGCTTTTAAAAAGTTATGGATTATTCTCCTATAAAGGATTAATTACCGATCGTACATCCTTGTATTTTTTATAGTAAAATCATTAACTCCAGTTTCGCTCCCTTTCTCTGAAATTACTCACGCTTTCCTAAGATCGGAGAACTGTTCGTTGGTTTCAGAGTGAAGCTTTATTTGAACGATTTAATGGTTCTATGGAAAGCCACCTACCACCTTTCACGTAGCACCTTTACAGAAGGTGTCGCTTGAAACTCTTTGTAAAATAAACGGTGCCATCCTCAGAACCATCGCTCAATCCCAGTAAGAGAAAAAAATATATGTTCATGGGTCCATCGATGGCTTTTCGTCGACGCGCATAAAAGCCTTTGTTCCAGCAATACTGGCATATGGTTGCTTTAAGCCGGCTTATGATTTGGCAGTTCCTGTTGACCCTGCATCAGGTCAACGTTGGGAAACCGCACATGCCCTAACCATAAGAATACATTCCCTATGATGAAAAGATAAAAAAACATACAAACTGCATCTACAGCATTGTGCATCATTTGGGTAACTAATGCACCTTCATCAGGATGAAGGAACAATATCTTACCAAAGTACCTTCCACCGGAACACTCCTACCCCCAATAGCTGAGCGAGCAACATCGCTTCCAGATGCGAAGGCGTTCGGGAGCGGAATCACATTGGAAGTGCAAGGGTATCTGGCCTCCTGTAGGAAGCCAGGCACGCCTTACAAGTAAAAAGGTTCCTAATGTCTATGAGTAGTGAAAATCGATCGCGTAGCTTACAGGGGATAGTAGAAGGATCCTCCCACGGACTTCCAGACCGGAATTTCCTGGTTTATTCCAGGGCTAGGTTACATCGTCAGAGAAATATTTTAAGGTAGCACTGCACCATTTAAACCATTTTCAAGGCCAAAGGAGGGAACAATACCAGTATGCCATTAGGAAGTACAAACACTGAAACTTATATGTCGAACATAATTAGCATATAACTTGATATTAAGGATCTAATATGGCAACCCAAGTCCGGAGATAGACCCTACTTTCAAGCGCATTTACCAGAAAACATGCGGTTCAACTGGAACGAGATTTTCTGACATCATTCTAAGTTCGTAGGAGCAGTGCTTTATTAAATCCAAATTTGTCCACTTGCCATAGAAAAAATTATGATTATATTTTCGATTTTCCAAAGTTTTCCATGCCTAATTGCCTATTCATATTCATATAAATATACATTCCGATAATAATGTATAATTACAAAAAGCTGCAGTCATTCCGTAGATATACGTATAAATGGCCTATGCAGAAAAAATTAGAAATATACTTTAAAAATGTACAGTTATCATCCCAAGCAGCATGTTTATGTAAACAAGATATCAATGTTTTGCTAACAATGTAAATTTCTTGCGATTGAATGAAATGACATCACGTCTACGTAAAATTTACTTTCCTATATTTACGTCACCAAAGTGTGTGTATTTTACATAAACTAGACGTCACTTAATCTGACGTGAAGAACGTGATGTCATATCTATGCAAAATTAAACCCACATCATCCAAATAAAACTTTAGCTGACCATCCTGCAGTTGCAGTACCAAGATTATTCTAATTTTTTCTGCATAGGCCATTTATACGTATATCTACGGAATGACTGCAGCTTTTTGTAATTATACATTATTATCGGAATGTATATTTATATGAATATGAATAGGCAATTAGGCATGGAAAACATGAAATTATTATTTATTTTTTATTATATATGACTCAGGGATTCATTACACGGTGAAGTTAAGATTTTTATTACAGCAGTGCACGGGATTAAGGAAGTGTAGAATCCCAGCCCCACATGTACTACATATCCATCATGAATGGGAGAGAACTCCTCTGAGCATCTGCTTCTTCTCCCGAGGTTTCAGTATGCGAGGGGGAAAGAGTGACCCCGATTGCCATTCCCACTATGCCGGTAATGCCAAGGTTTCGAAACCCAAAAAATCCTTCTGAATCCTATAGGCCGGGAGTCCTATATGACTCAATAGGAATCCTAAAGGATCTATAGGGCATTTCCGTCAGGGAAAATGAAATAATCATGTAATAATATAGGGGATGTCGAGAAAAAAAAGACGCGATACTTACAGGAATTCCACAAGACTCAGATTCATCTATTGAATCCAATATGGTAATGTTGCCAATGTGCAATATAGCTGCCAGAACCCGGTATAACTGAATTTGTAGATTTTGGAAGATTCCAAATATATTGAGGGCCGTCTTTGTCTCTTGAAACTGTTTTGAGTCGTCGATGCCGTCGATGTAGGAGTTTTTACCTTGATTCAGGTAATGGAACTGGTCTTGATGTACTATAGGAAGGAAAATTGGATTGAGCACCGTGCAATTTTTTAAATTCTAGCCAGTTAGCCAGGAGCGCAACCATGGAAGGCGGGCTCAGAGGTTTTGCAATCCATTCTAATGCCACATGAGTTCATCATTCCTTCGAAGATGCTTCAACGTATCTACAGGGTGGTCCATTTAAGTGAAACAATATGGAATAATAACAATTGAAAACCTACTCTTTTTTTTCAATTTATATGTTATATATATTTTCGCCCACATTGTCAATGCACTTTTTCCATCTGGTTATCAATTGAAGCTGAACTCGAATTAAGGTATCTGCTGCAATTTGAGAACAAGCTTCAGCAATATTGTTTTCAATATGGTGGAGGTCACGAATCTTCAGTGTACACAATACTTTTTAAATGTCCCCATAAATAAAAGTCCAGTGGTGAAATGTCTGGAGGCCTTGGCAATCATTATTTTGGTCCGCGACGACCGATCCAATGCGAAAAAGAAAGTATTGGTTATTCCATATGGTTCCACTTAAATGAACCGCCCTGTAGAGAGAATCTTTGATTTAAACATGCATGCATGGCGATTAAAGTGCACGTCTCACGCTTTAGAGCGCTCAACTACCTAAACTATGCGGCGCAGGCAGATGTCATGGTCTCAGATATGACAAATATTTCAATTTGCCCAAAGGGCAAACAAACTCGCTAGTATTATATATACAGTATGGAAATCCCCGACTTACCAGACGGGATGAGTCTACCATTGCAGAGCAGTAGGTTTTCACGTGAAAAAATATTTCGAGGGGGGAAAAAGGAACCTATCCTGATTAATAAGTTCGCTGCCGATGACGCTCGTTTCTATGGAAAGGATAACGACGATGTACGTCATAGGCAGCGAACGTGTTAAAGCATTGTAAAACATTTGTAGAAATGATAAGAAGGTTATTCGTATAAGAGGAGATACGATAAAATGTAATTCCTGTAATTCTATGAAGATTAGTTATTTTGGATAAAAAGCATCAATCATTTAAACCTCAGTAGGAAATTCCGCCTATGCGCCGTTTCAGTTATGATGCAAAATGGTCTCCTCTTTGAGGCGACAAAGCCTGCTTTACATGTGTATATTTCCTGATATAGTGTTCTCAACCATGCGATATATTCAAGCTGCAATTGAGAAAGGAAAGTCAACATTTCATTATGGCTTGGTTTGAGTTCATGGACATGAGGGAAAACAGTCAGAATTTCCAATTGGGTCATGCACTGAGGTCTGGACCACCTTTTCCCTTCAGCCCTTATTTTGAAAGCGAATCTACATGCCAGAGACATTCTACTTTTGTTATCAGTGAAAAGATACTGCTCAGCCAAACAATCTGCAATAAGGAGGCCCTAAAAGCAGCCCTTTCACAAAATATTGAATTTATGGAGAACACTGTTGGAACTGGTGCATCCAAAAAGGTTGAATTTCATTCTGAATGAATTGGTGTTTCTTTTTTTGAAACAATATAGACACCTTAAACTTCCAGGAAATAAATATTGCATTATTTTCTCCGCAGTGATGAAGATCATTTGCTATACCTACACAAAGCACCATCCACACCTCATAATTAGACGTTTTAGGTTCTGAAAAAAAATTCGTACTTTATAATCACCCTGAATGTTAGTGGAAGAAAATGCTTCCAATGAGCATCCGCCCGTACCCTTCACTCTTTCGCTCAGAATACTTCACACCCCTCCCTTCGTCCTTGTCTTGCATGCCATCACAATATTTCCATCTATGTTTCGTGGAAGTCCACTAAAACTAACGCCAACACTTATAGCTAGTGGGTGGTAAGCACTTGTAAACTCTGCCTTCCCTCTACCTTAACATTAAACTGACTCCTATTTGCGCCATAGATGAAAGGCATCTTTATAAAAACAAGATATTGTCAAACCCAGGCTCAGAGGCTTCATTTCTTCACTATTCCTAGCAGAACACAGTTGATAGAAGATATGGTAGCTTCGTTCATTATCCGCCTGGAACACGACGCGAGACTTCTCGAGGAGATAAGTGCGCAAGAAGGCACCCATGATGGTGTTCTGCTTCGTGTAATCAAGTTGTATGTATTTGCCAAACCGGGAGCTGTTGTCATTTTGAGTCGTCTTTGCATTCCCAAAGGCCTGTTGAAGAGAAAAAAGGGTTTTTGCCATTTAATTTCTACCTTACTATTCATTCCTCTCTTCCATGTTACGGAAATATGGATGGATTTGGAGTAATGGAGAGAGAAAGAAAATGTAGGAATATTTGATAAATAACAGGAGGACTCATGACTGTGGTTCCATTTTAAATCTGGGAGGGAACAGTCTTCAATTTTTTTTCCCCAAAATATATGAGGGGTGATTTAAAAGTTCCAAGCATGAAGCAATTCCAGTTGTAATACACCATTCTTGCTTTTCTTATGAGACTGATGTCTTTGATGGTGACTGGCAAATTTTCATCTTATATTTTGATTAAATATAGCTTCGATTAATTTTTTTTTACATGTGCTACCAACGGGTCCCCTGAAAGGGTATTAAATTTGAGAAGAATGCATATAATGATTTTGGGTCATAGTTAGAAAGCCATGACTTTGACTAAGAATCAGAGAGGCTAACTAATAAAGCTTTTTTACGCCAACAAGTGAAATGGACTTGTTGCCTCACGAAAATACCGCCCAGAACGCAGACTCCGTTGAGCCTTGGGCAAGAAAAGCTCTGATGAATTTTGTCGATAACTTCAAGCCAACGGGTTGTGTTTGCAACAGGCCGCATGGCAGCAGGTCTTAGATGTCGCTGAAATCGGACTTGCGATTGACGAAGAGCCTACCGCAAGTGCACATGGAACGAACAAACGTTTGGACAGGTTCTGGGACACGGTTCAGTTTGTATGAAAGCATTTGTAGAGTTTACCTTAGAACCTTGGCAGGGTTGAATGGGGGAGATCCAGAAGACGGGCGACAGCACGACTGCTGCTCTTTCCATGTGCTTTCCGCTGGTGGAAAAGCATGTTTGGAATAAACGACTCACCCAACAGCTATGCCCGGAGGGGATGCACCATGAAAGTTGAATACTCCCTCAGCTCAGTAATATCATGTCACTTAAACGTATACCAAACATGCTTTTTCACCAGCGGAAAGCGCAAATGTATAATATTGAAACTTTGTGGGCATGCAATTCACTGAGGATGCATTTCGGTAAAAGAAAGAAAAGAAGATACGTTTCGGTGAAAATGGCTTAGGGCACATATTTTGCAAATGGCATTTTTTCCCGAATTTTCCGATCAGGAAAACAGGGCGCAAAAAGTTTAAACTTGGCAAATAAGTACCTGATGGATAGCTGAGTAAAAAAAAAATTCTACTTTTATTATGCATAGATGAACGTGAGTAGCTGACTAACTGACAAGTAGCTATTCGCATGCTGAGTCCAGGAATGATTATACTTTGGTGATGCATTCCAAAAGGGTGCACCTTTTCGGGGAACATATTTTCAAATAGTTTTCTTTGCTTCAACCAAACGGAGACACATGGAAAGATGAAACTTTGCAAGAACGTGACCGCTGACGCACTGAGCTCAAATGTCAAACGTCAAATTTCCAAAATATTTTCGGGGTTCATATTTCTTGGGGACGTAACGTTTTCAAATAATTTTTCATTTCCTACCGAAACGGGCAGAAGTAGAAAAGTAGCTGGCGCACGCATAACGGACGTGATGTTCATTTAAGGAAATATTCGGCTTTTGTTGGGCATCTCCCCAGAGCGCAGCTTTTGGGTGGGTCGCTTTTCCAAATATATATTTCCCGCCAGCAAAAAAGGGGAAACGTATAAGGCTGAAATTGAGTGGCATGGATTTCCTTGAGCCTACATTACAGGACAAAACGTATAGCATTGAAACGTTGTGGGCATGTAGTTCACTGAGTATGGATTTCAGTACAATAAAAAAATAAAACGACTCACGGCGCACATTTTGCACACGAAATTCAGGAATTTTCTGATCCAGCAAAACAGAGATCGCATCAAAGTTTAAACTTGGCAAAGAAGTACTTGATAGATAGGTAAGTAAAGAAGAAATCATACTTTTATTACTTTTATTATGTAAGAGCGATCGTGAGTAGCTGACTGACTGACATAAGTCAGTCATACACATACTGAGTTCAGCAAAAGTGGTGATGCATGCCACCTTTCGGAGAACTTATTTTCAATTAGTTCTCTTTGCTTGAAATTGTGACACCATGAAAGCTGAAACTTGCCAATAACGTGACCTTTGTCATCATATCCTACCGAATCAGGCAGAAATATAAAGTAGCTGGCGCACGCATAACGGACGTGATGTTGGTTTAAGGAAAAATTCAACTGTTTCTGTGAGTCTCCTCAAAGCTTAGCTTTTGAGTGGGTCTCTTTTACAACTAAATTTTTCTGCCAGCAAAAAGGGGAAACGTATAAGGCTGAAACTTCGTGGCATGGAGTTCCCTGTGTCTACATTTCAAAAGAAAAGAAATTTTCGTTAAAACCCATCAGGTCACTTTTTCAGTCCCGTTTTTCTGAAATTTTTTTTAATACAATAAAACAGAGACAAGAAATACAATCTCCCACAGAAATATCTGTTTAATGGCTGAGTACAGGAAAAATCCTACTTTTGAACTATATCTCCTTAGCATAGATTACTGGAGGGAAGTATTTCAAAATGTATTCTCCAGACTTACAAAATGGGACACAAGAAAAAGTTTAAAGTTAGGCACACATAGAATCAAATAAGTATTGATTTTGATTAAAAAAAATAAAGACTTTCGAACCCATATGTCACGTATTTCAATGGGGACGTACTTCAAATACGTCTTTCCCATTTCGCAAAAAATGAATGAATAGTGATTAGACTATACAAGGTAAAGGGGCGCCGAAGGCGCGACCATAGCGAGTTTGTTTGCCTAAAACTCGCTATTAATACATATGCCTTCTTAGATAGGTCAGAGAACAGAATCATCAATGAAATATCTAAAAATATCAAACTAATGATTTTCCTCATGTTTCCCCATGTGTTGATTTTATGCCAATTTACAAAGTTCACATAACAGCGTCCGCAAAGAAAAACATCCACAAATTACAAACAAATGCTTTTTTCTTTTTTCCCCGGGCCTTCATGCTTACTTGCAAAGATCAAAGAACCGAATCAGCAATGAAACACCTGTGAAGCAGCGTTTTTTTCTCGTGGTTTCTCATATTTTCCTTTAAAGCCTAATAAGGAAACAACAATGAACCTTTACGGCAAAAACCATTGTTATTGTTTCAATTGGTTATCCATGTATTCATCTTGGAAGAAAATTTACATAACTCAAAGAAAAACACTTCTTCATCCGTGTCGTCATCGATGCCTGCGCAGCAGTCAAGAACAAAATTTCGGTAATCCAACCTTCATTGGGTTTTGAGCAAGAGAAAGAATCTGAATGGTAACCCATTGTGTCGGCTTGAGCGTCACCATTGAAATGAGTATTCCATGTTGCCCCCACATCGTCACCCCGTTTTGCTCCATCAGCACATTTATAAGACAGTGTTAAACAAAAGGTGAGTGAGCTATGGAAAAAACTATGACTTCAAGTAGTAGTTCACAAGTTTACATACTCACATGTCGCACGTTTCGGTACGTGGGGTGCATTAAAACGGAAAAATTCCACTCTAAACCGCTTCGCTATATTAGGTGATACAGTGGAGCTCGTACAAATTGTATAATATCATGTGAAAGGCGTCCCGTTCCTCATTCCCTGCACCAGGCAATCCCCTTCATGCATTTTATTTCATTTGATGGAAGTATGTTCGCTGACTCCCCTCCCCGACTCACGCTTGACCGTCAGGGACCATAGCTGTGAAACCTTTGAAATTATTCGAAGACATGCTGACCTCATCATCTTTGCATAATATCTTTCACAACATACATGCTGCTCCCCTCCCTGACTCGGAGTCCATGACGCTCAGGGACTGTGGCTGTGAAATGGGGAGCGCGACAAAAATGGGACCCAAAAAAATAAAGGCATCATCAAGAGATAACGTGTCCAAACATTGCTGAAGCCGTTTCATCAAATAAACCCTTTTGCTTTCCCAATCCCAACGCGTTATCGTAGTCGGCTCACACCAAAATAATTTTCCAATCGTTGAAATTTGTTCAATTAGGTCAGCAAAAAAATAATAGAAATCTAATTATTCATGCACTCGATAAATCGAAGACTATCAATCAACACCCATGTTCATACCCTAATAATTTCCAATTTTAAAAATAGTTTCATGAAGGTACATGGATAGCATAATATAATGTTGATATTTTAATGACAATCAATATTCACTAATTGCGATTACTTATGGTAACCCAAGGTTAATTTATGTGATATTGAGGTCAATTAAGCAATGGTAAATTGTACCTCCATTGCGCCTCAATTACGACTCCTGGAAAACTCACCTTTTTTATACTACTCAGCGTATTCAGGATTCCCAATCCACGGGTAAGAGCTCCTAATCCCTATCCCATCTGGATGGAATGCCGCCACTTTCACCTTTGGGAGTCACTGTCCTTGTGAGACAGCCGATCAATACCAGGACAGAGTTCCGATCGATGAAGGGGTCGGATCCCTATAAATATAAGAGTGGAGATCTCATCTCAGGGAAAAAGCCATACTTCCTCCAGCGGGATGAACAGCGGGACTCCAAGTTTTATATGTCGGGACGTTTTATACGACCTCATAGGAAAGTTTGCATGGAGTTGCGAACACTCCCTGAGTAGGGAAGAGGGAGCGCAAGCCTACAATGTATCTCTCTCCCGTTCTCGAGAACGGATCAGACAGCCACAACGGCCAGGAAGAAAGTGCGCGCTCGAGAATTCGAGACGGACAGCAGGAACCAAACAAAAGAAGGTGTTGCTCATGCGCACATCTTTTTCCGACATACGGACGCCCAAGCGTATATGTATAGAAGTGTCTCACTCCGGAAACATTTTAAAGCCCCTCGTATATCGCAGACAAACCTATGAAACTGACTATGAGAGAAGAACCCCAAGAAGTTATACGTACATGGAGACATCAGCGCATCTACGGGTATCTTAAATATCTAAAACAATGGCCATAATTACTATTTCTAGAAAAACGTACATCAATTTGTCAATATGTTAGGAATCGCTCAATGGGACATACTTCCATTATGGGATTGGTAGCCAGGACCTTCTTTTCAATCTCCATCTCATCATTTCGCCCACCGACCGATGCAAAATACCGCATAACATATTTTGCCGACACTGTTTTTCCTGCTCCCGATTCCCCAGACACGATAATAGACTGATTCACATTATTCCTGTGGAAGGAACGAAGCACCGCGTTCAGCATTCATATTTCAAATGGGACATCCTGAATTTACGTTCCTGAGACCTTACCGATTCATCAGTGCAAACGCTGATCCAGCCACAGCAAATATGTGAGGGTCATCACTGTTCTTCTCTAGACCCTCGTATTTTCTAATGTTGTCGATGCCGTATATGGGCAGTTCTCGATATGGATTGATGGCCACAAGGATAGTTCCTGTCACATAAAATAATAGAGTTTATAAAAATTCTGCCAACCAGACAACAAATATGTATGCCCTTCATTATGAACAAACGCTCGCTCAACTTCGCGGTCTTGACTCAGGAAGGTCTTAACTCATATTTCGAGGACCATATTTCTCTAGAAGTGATTGAAGAGCAATATTTCATGCAACGTAATTATTCTTTAACATACTGCAAGAAGAATCATGAGCCAATTCAGAGGTGAGGAAGGTCAACGTTTCCAAAGAAAGAATATTTCATGAAGGGAAGCAGACCTAAAAGAAACATGAGCTGAAACCCCATTAGGCCATATTCCTACTTCATTTCAAATCAAATATGGCCAAGGTCTACGCGTCTGTTCATTTTCTCCGATTTTTTCAATAAATGTGATCCTCCCATTCAAGTGATGAAATGTGGTAGCTTGTTTGCCCCATATCGGCAATAGTTTCAAAGAAAAATATTCATAGGTAAAGGGGTCTAAAAAGGGTAATTGCGAAATCGTTGTTTCCACCCCCCTTCAATTTGTTTCATCTCCTAAGCTAATGTCCATGGATCTTTCAAAATTATGTGTCACTCGCTCGAAAGTACGTTCTATGCACGCAAATGAGAATGAGCTCAGCTAAGTTATTTTATGGGTATTTTTTTAAATTTTCTAAATCGACGAAACTGTTGAATTAGTCGGTATTTCATTAGCTTTCATCAGTTAGATGTACAGGGTGTCCATAAAGTTACTTATTTATTTCAAAAGGCCTTATCTCCGTCACGGAGGGGGCTAGAAACTTTTCGAAATTCAACACATTTGATGTACAGTCAATGGGATTTATGATTGCCAAATTTCCAACGGTTTCCAAAAGGTTCCTGGATATCACCACCAGAGTGGCACCATACCGACCAAACACAGTCCAAAGTCAGCACATACACCAATATCTGCGTGGATAGCACGACCAAACCTGCAGGTATTCGATGTGGCCACCCCCTGCCACTACCACTGCCTCCATCCATGTAACGAAGTATTTGATGACAGAATGTAGTCAGACGACAATGTGAAAATCTGGTGCAGCATGACTCCGCTATGCATTCCTTGAGATCCACGAAGTTCGCAGGACAGCCACTGTCAATCCCACTGCCAGAATTCAGGAAACTCCACAGCCTCAGGTGTAAGATCCTGTGCCCTTCACAGCTAAGCCTGTGGGAAAGCTCTGCTGATCACATGGTCCTGGAACGTACGTTGGAGAATGGACTGGACGCGTCTCCTAAAGTGTGGAGGGACCCATGTCTCTGACCGGTACAGCGCCCCTTGTGGTCATATCCAGAAACTTTTTTGGAGAAATTTGGAAACTTGACTATTATAAATCCCATTGGCTGTACAGCATCTGTGCCGTATATGAAGTTTCTAGGTAGCTCCGTAAAGGAGAGAGGGCCTTTTGAAATAGGGAAGTAATTTTATGGACACCCATCTGCAATCAAATTTTCCCATACTACATAAATTAATGGATCTCTTCGTGTCATTCGGCATTGATGTCATTCATACCAAATATGATATTAATATACATGTTTCTTTCCCCCATAAATGGGTAACAAAAAAAAATCATTTCAAAAACCCCATCATGGATTTCTTTCCACGTTCTTAATCAATAAGTATCGCCCTCAGGTCATGAACTTTCCATTCACACCTTAATATTAAAATATGTTCATCCGTCTAGGAGGAGTGTCCCGGAATCACTGGCACAATGACAGAATGACCGATTAACCTCTTAGGTATATGGTTTGTTTCTCCCAACATCTTTGGAATATGTGCATGTTCAAAAATCACTGACTATGGAATTAGGCAAAAAGAAGGAAGAAATGTTTATACGATGCAGTTACCCATGGCAAGGCATGGGTTACAGATATAAGCATTTCTTTTGCAAAAATGTGGAGGCAAGGTGGCGAAGCGCGCCACCTTGCTCCACATTTGCCACCATGCCACCATGGTTTCGACCAATGAGAAAAGCATTATATCGAACCCTTCCCGGGCGAAGTGGTCACACTTCATACCCCGCACTCGACATGAAACTTGATTTCCGAACCGACTTGCTCAAAGCCTGTTTTGTCCTTTGAGCTACAGAACGCGAGGTCACAAATTACGCATTTTTTCGCACCCGATCGGAAATGAGATTGTCAACCTATCTTCACGCCTGATGCATGGGTCAGATCGGTCCTTTCCAGTCGATCTGCATCACGGGCAAATTCAAAATCTTCCCCTAAACTACTGGGCTTTCGTAAATTAATTAAGTTCTACCATTTTCACGTCATTGAGTCTTACTTTAGCAATAAGAATGGCAGTGTATTGGATGCCTTCCCAGGCTGTATGCTGACAACCAACAATGAGAGTATGAAGCATTGTAGGCAATGGAAGTTGTTGCTATGGTAAGTGCTGACAATGGTCATATGTCTTAGTTTTTCGCGTTCTATAGAGGGCTTCAGGAATGTTTGAAACATTTATTTGGTGCTTCAATATTATAATGATTTCCTTTCATTTTGGCGGTTTCAAAATGCTCCGAAAACTATTCTGTTGCGGATTCGATTGAACGTAAGAGAAAAATAGAATTTCTAGAGTTACAGTCACTGGATAAAAGTGCATGGCGAAGTCCACAAAACGCTGTTACGCAAGATGCTTCCAGGAATATCGAAACTGACGAAGAAGGTGAAGAAAGTCATGCACGAAATGTTCTAATTCTACTTATTTCAGCCCGTGCGCGCATGGGCTTTTACAATAGTGGTCACATAATCAAGATTCATTTTTATCCGCATTAGTAGCTCTTGCCAAATATTAATGTCTTGGGGTAGTTAATTCAGTTATGTGATGTTCACCTTGGACACTGATGTACTGATTAAACTGCATAGCATGTGAAACTCATCATGGGCTAAAAAAAATTAATAATTGTGTGAACATTGTTTCTCCCAACATCGTTGGAAAATGTACATGTTCAAAAAACACAAAGTATGTAATTAGGCAAAAGGAGGAGGAAATTGTTGCACCATGCAGTAACCATGTATCAAATTGAGAAAGGTAAGGAAACGACGGGTGGAGGATGATGGGTTTTTTGAAAAAAATGTATTTCATTCATTTTTTGGAAACTGACAAAAGTAGTCAATTATTATCATATTAAATAGGAATGATATAAATGCCAAATGACACCACGAGATACATGAATGTACATATTGAATAGTTTAGGAAAATATGTATATTTCATTGAAGATGTATAACTGATTTTAAAAAAACTTGCCAAATACCGACTATTTCAACAGTTTTGTCGATTTTTTAAATTATAAAGTGACACTTAAGAAATATTAGCTGGGCGAATTCCCACTTGGGTACACAGTACGAACTTTCAAGCGAGCGATACATTATTTTCAAAGACCAATGCACTTAAGTTTAGATTTAAAAAATTGAAGTGGATGTGGAAAACAGCAATTTCGCAAGTTTCCCCTTTTAGAGCCCATGACATGTATATTTTTCTTCGAAACTATTGGTGACACAGAGATCAACAAGATACCATGTTATCATTTGGATGGGAGGATCAAATAAATTATTTTGAAAAAATCGACGACTTGGATCTGATACACCCTACCTGATTTGAAATAGAACCACCCCAATAGAAAATGCTTATTTTTATTGTTTACGAGCAACATTACCAAAGGTAAATCGACAAAACGTAAGAATATCAAAGAAACATGCAGGGGGAGTCAAGGTGATTCCCCGTTTTTTATAATGGGACCTTTTAAAAATGTGCTTGTCACGTTTGAGCAGTTTTTCCTTCTGAAAAAATATGAATACAATTTGCTAAAATTGACTAAAACCGCAAAACTGTCCGCTAATAGGCTTCCGTCCACAAACTTTTGCCTCTACCCTACTAAGAAAACTATGATTTAAGGAAAGATTTGGTGCGGCGTTTTCGTCTTCATCATGAAGAAGCTGCACAAAACGCTTCAATTTATTCATGTTTAATGCCCTTTACCAACCTTATACTGCGCATACTCGAATCCCGAAACCATGACATGAATGAACAACTCTCACCACAGTAGGTATAGATGGCATGACTCTCTTGAGTCTTGAATGGTGCTTGGAGCTCAAGCAGAAGATCCTTCTCACCATCTACAAAGTTTGGATTACTCATAGTAGGCAGGACGTTTTCCAACTTGAAGGGCGTTCTCTCCTCCTACAAGAATTCGAGATCAATTTTTGTTATTTTCCAGACTATAAATATTCCTAATGAGAAATTCATCTCGGAACATCATGAAAGATCACGCTTCATGTGGGCATCATACTACAGAGTTGTCTATGGGCTGCTGGGTGCAGACTGAAATCCGAAAGCCATTTTGCTACCTACTAGTTCTTTAGCTAAGAACATTAGTTAAATATCGATCAGCATTAATTCGGCAATAAATGAAACACCCGGGAATTCAAACCCAATGGTATAAATCTCCCTTGATATTTCATTTTCTGCCCTACTTGCTTCTTAAAAATGTCAATTCCTGAACGATGCTTTGGAATCATCGTATCTCTTGCGCCGGTCCTTTTTAAAATTACTTACATGGTGAATCAAAAGTCCAGCTCACCCTTTGAACGTTGATGAATTTTGAATGCCTTCAAGGATTGAGTTCCAGCTTAAGTAATTTGAAAGGCAAGAACATCCACCATATGGAGCTCCATTTTTGCTAAATTTTTCCTTTCACATGGTTTCTGTCTCTTTCAGCAATAAATTGAATTTCTTTTTTTAAGTGTTCTTCCATGCATTAAAACCAGGAAATCTGCTTGGGTGCTATGGTTACCTGATTCCAAACTAAATAAAATTGGGGAAATTGACTGAGGAACAACAGAGTATATTTGCGCTTGTAGCAGAGTTCAATTTTGTTCCAAATTGAGCGATAACGTAACAGGAACTACTAGAAAATTCAGGAAAACATCTGACAGAGAAACCTCCAGACGTCCATGCATCGTTCATATCTGCTTAAATAGAACTCTCGTCTGGTACTGAGTGCCAATGAAGAATTCAGTTGAATAATATTCAAAAATGTGAAAATTTCAGCTCACCTTCATGGAATGCCGTCAGTGCACAAGAATGCCAGTGCCGTCCAAGAGGGAGAATTCCTTCTCTCTAATAATAACAAGATTAGATACCCGCGAACATGATTTCTGGGAATTGTGTTCAGGGACGATGAGTAGAGAATGAAAGGTTCCAAACAACCTTCCCTTATCTCACTGATAGCATGAAAGTTGGTTCCGGGCTTCCTCATGCCTATGAACTAAATAAATATGAGATATCCCCAAAAGTCCTTTCTGCTATAGGAATGTGTTGATTAAGGAGGCAATAGGTTCATATCATGTCAAATCATCGCACTACAAAACATGACCTCCTCCAATGTTGATGATTTTGGGACCAAAGCTTTGTACCTTTGAGAAAGTTGGAAATCTTAAGCACTTTCTCTTCAGTCGCTTAGACCTAAAGATAAGAGGACCTAAAGATAACGTCTGCTTGGTTACCTTGTGGCACCTCTGTCCCTAAAGATGCTTATAACATCTCTTCAAGCTAGGGGGATGGTTTATGACTCTTCTGAAAGGTCTGTTCCTGTCCTTCTCGATAGCATAAGATTTGTCAGTAATATCTCAAGGAATAATAGATAGCGATCAAATCGAAACTCAAACTTATGACGTCATTTAGCAAAAATATGGCCTATATATATATATATATATATATATGTATATATATATATATATATATAAATATGGCCTATATATATATATATATATATATATATATATATATATATATATATATTGATTCCGATCATTGCTGTGATAATTGGAATGCAGTAATAATCTTAAGTGGATTATGGAAGTGGTAGGTCTTGACAGAATGTCATATAAGCCCTATATGTTAACCGATCAGAGATAATTTTCGCTTTCACGTGAATTAAAGTCAAATTCTGGAAAAGTTCTAAATATCTCAAGAAGACTTTTTAGTACTCAACTTCTATATTTTTACCTATATTTGTCAGGCAAATTTAGCGGAAGTCGTTGATTTTTTTGCAAGATGAGTTCAAACTTCAGTGCATCTATTTAATGACGTGTTACTGTTTTAGATCACACCTATGCGTATGGTATCATCCGAAAGAACAGGAAAAGACCTATACACAGAGCTATGTAACATCTCTCTAGCTTGACTTTAGGAGAAGTTATAGCGATATTGGAGAACAGCGGGTGTCACTTGGACATATAAATGGCAATTTCCTCATAATCCCTTACCTTAAAATATGTGACAGAAGACGATAATATGTGAGATATCTCACTTTCTTAATAGTGCAGAATTTAATTCTAGACCATATTCTAGACTATAATTCTAGAAATATACGAAATCATTCCTGAGAGTTGTAAATTTTCCATCTCTAGAATCTGAAGGCATTTCCCAACAGGTGAATTTTTTGTTTTGTCAGAAGATGAATCAAAATCTTTTTCAGGCGCAGTATGTGTATAATAATAATGATTACAATAATTTTTATTCTATCGCTCTTGCAAGACCATTGTCTTGCAGGAGCGATAGAATTAGTCATGAATCTGTGAATGTTGAATTAGTCATGAATGTTGATTTAGTCATGAATCAAAAGCTATGAATGTACATGCTCTCATAACGAGGCAGAAGGTGAAGAGAAAAAGAGCAGAAAATGAACGATAATAATTCATAAATAAAACAAAATAAGCTAACGAATACACAGTACTAGACAAAACACTCAGAACATACAGGACTGAACAGGACACACCGAAGCTGTACCATGAACATAATTAGCAACTCAAAAGGGGTGAGGGATAAGAAAAGGAAAAAATGAGGGGTGTGAGAGAAGACGAAAACAAGTGGCCCAGTCCAATATGAGCCTCCTTTCGTTAAGGAGACCCGCATTTTGTCCCCTATTTCAACAAAACGCACCACTTTCCGGTCCTTGACCATGAAAAAATCATTTTGCAATTACGTTTAAAAATCTACCATGGTGCCCATGAAATGATGATGGGAGGATGGAGGGTTCTGCGTGCTTAGAAGCATCCGCCATGAAGGTTGATAAGGAACTAACAGCTCTTGTTTCTGACACGGTACCGCGCCCAAGGCCATACGGGCATGCGCATTGCGATCCAGATCCTGAATGTCTCATGGGCACTCATGCCTTCCCCTTCATGACAAAATTTCAAATCCAAATTTTGCAATAAAAATTCCAATATTTTTTCGAATTCGCCGCAAAACGAACTCAGCCCGTGTCACGTTCGTAACTACCTGGTTGCCAAATTTCGCATTGGTCAGTCCAATATTTTCTTAGTTATCGTCGGACAATCGAAAACGAAGCGCGATTGAGGAATCCGGCCTCTTTCAGACATTCATCGAAGGTAGGCCGATGCCATTCCTCATGGAAGTTTTCCTCGAAATCGGGTGAAAGTCCTCTTCCTTCACTCTACCTTGCACTGTCTCTACTTCCCCTTGTTCGTCCCATTCTTGTTTTTTCTTAGTTTTTCAACCCTCTGCCTCTCTGACCTTCTTCCTATCTTCCTTTCTTGATCCAATCGTTTCTTCTGTCTTTCTTTCTCCTAGAACACTTTCTCCCATTTTCCACGAGACATCGTCCAAGGAAATCTTTCCGTCTTCCGGACCCCTTTCCTTTTGAGAAGTTCCAGGCCAGACCAAGTAATCCTGCAGCTCCGCAGAACTTTCTAGAGCTTCCTCGTCGACTTCATCTGGAACTTCTCTTCTTCTGATGTCTGCGTACAGAGGGAATGCAAACGCTTCACTTTTGCTGCTGAGGGTGAGGAACGGGAGGATGCCTCTTACTTGTGCCTACCAAACGATGACAGGTTCTCCATCGCCTTCCAAACCTCATCCATGGACCCTGGACGTGTTTCCAATTCAAGGGTTGATGTCAGTTGTTCACCAATGATAACAGATTTCAAGGTCAGAGAGGAGATGGAGATAGGTGATTCCTTGACAGCATGGCATTTCGTGTTAGCCACATTATCTGAGTTCCATGGGAATATTCCACATGCTCGGAAGCCGTTATGTATGCAGGATATAGTTATGCATCCCATGGCGACCTTGATCACTCCAGGAAAGTCTTTCTTCGTGGCGGCCTGGTTGGGATGGTCTATATGCCACTGACTAAGCGCTGCCTTCCTGTTGGCCTCCACGCTCCTTGAAGACGGAAACGTCAGCGACTTGTAATATTCAGGTAGAGTTGGGATAGAGAGCCACCAAAAAGCTTTACACAGAGCTCACTCAGTTGAATGGTGAGGTGCGTGGAATGGCCATCCACATTGAGGATCACCGGGAACTCTATCCTTTGTGCGACAAGATAAGGGTAGAATACAGATGAGATATACTCGTAGAAGATTTCCGACTTCATTCAGCCATGATTTGAATGGGCGATTCCCCAGCCACCTGGCACAGACTTGGCAATGTCGCGAGGAAGACGAACATATGGATATACGATCAGGGGGGGAGCAATATTTCCTGCTGCAGAGAAGTTGCAGAGAACAGTACGATTCTCCTTCTCATTCCCTATGGAAACAATATTGAAATTCTGTGCTCCCCTTGGAGCCAAGATCTTGCTGCTCTTTGGGCAAAAGCTGAAAAGCTGACTCGTCTGCGTTCCCGATACGACGGCCATCTTCCAATGCTTCCAACCCATTTTCCAAAGTGATCTCCAGGACTGTGCAGAACCAACCTCTGATGTCAGCTTCCGTCAAGCATGCTGACGCTCTCGTTACGCCTTCTGGTGTGCGAAAGGACAGCATTGGATGCCTCCATAAAAATGGAGGAAAGCCACTTCTTCCCCGGCCGGTTGTCCACAAATGGGCATCCTCTGACTGCTGCATCCAGAAAGTACTCGACGCTATCCTGAAGATCCACGGGTCTCCTGGAAAATTCCTTTTTCTGAAGGGAAAGTGTCCAAGACACCAACATCTTCTCCTCCTGCTAATTAAAATTAGGCTTGAGTGCCTTGAAGCTTTTCCACTCCCATCAAGACGAAGCTTTAATGTCGTCCTCGGTACGGAAAATCTTGAGGCAGCAGTTCTTGTGTAAGAGTCACAACGAACCGCCCTTACTGCAGCCGCCACCGCTCCATCAGAATACCTCTTAGCTGACCGTGCTTTTGGCATCTCTACCGACTGCAATAAAAATGTCATATTCGCATCATCATACCCTCTAGTGACGGAGATATAGTAATAGAAATTCACCTAATACTTCCTAATACTACCTAAAGCTTTGATATTATGGAGGCATAAAGGGTAAAATGGTCTTTGGAATAGGAAGATAGGTTTTTTATGTTTTTCATGAAAGCAAGGGCAATCGTTCAACATGAAAAATTAATGTAGTCATTGAAACCAAAATAAAATTAACAATAAAGAAGAATAAAAGATTACAGGCCTACAGGTAGCGGAACTGATAATGAGGAAACTAATCCAGTTCAGAGGTGAGTGACTGCAGGATAAGATAAAGTTCGGGATGACGTCTCCCTGAAGTCAGCCGGAGTCGGAGGAAGAATCGATGTGTAGGTGAAGTGGTGAATAATGACCGTTAATCGAAAATTGAATGCCTTTTTATACTGGCTGCTGCGGCGGAAGTGTGGGAGGAAAGGAGGCGGAAGGGACCTGGAGACTGAGCGGAACAAGGAGGGGGGAGGAGGTGGAGGGGCGTGAATCCCTTTCAAGGATATTTCAAAGACGCGTGCTCCTCTATCACACTAATATTAGTATGGTCAACATCTGGGACAAAAAAAGTCACCTTTGTAGCCAGTTTTTGGCCAGGTGGCCAGTAACCGGGGAGGGCAGTATTAGACATCCTCAGATATTGGCCACCCGATAATTAGAGCTTCATCATAATTAATGAATGATTGTCAGATCTAGTCCGTTATTCGATATAGAAATGAGAACACAGGAGACCTCATCTGCAGCAAAAGCGATTGGCAATAAATGAAGCTGATGAAGCGGCGCGATTGCTTAGCGCAAGCGTTAAGGAAACATGCCGTTTACACACGCCGTTCGAATGAAACGCTGATACGACTCCCGTAGGAAGTGGACACCTTGTGCGCACACCGAGAAACATTAGTAATAGGTCCTCGTATATGTTGATGGAATGCTTGAAAACGGCCAGATTAACTAATTATGCTGAATTTAAGCCTCACTCGCCAACAACTGGAGACTGGCCAGAAACCGGGGTGTTAACCCTATGTCCTTTCCTTTTTTATGGATTGTGATGAACTTGCCATGTTTGAGAGCTGATGGGAAACCCTCCATACTCAGTAAATTGTTGAAGATAAGGGTGAGGGAGGGGGGAGCGATAGACTGAGCTATCTTTCTGATGAAATTAACAGACATTGTCAGGACGAGTGCCCTTCGTTGACGATAGCTTGAGATGATTGTGAGGGTTTCAAGTTCTGTGATAGGCAGAAGGGAAAAAGAGGATAGTACACAAGATATTGGACGTGTGCGAGGGGAAAAGAAACTCGAGAAATGACTCTCATGGAATTTGCAATATACCTCGTATTCATCGTCAGTAAAAAGTTCATTTTCTCTAAGTCCCACAATCGTCTGGGTAGCATCTCTGCCTAGAATTCTGTTTGTCAGTCGCCATAGGCCTTTGGCGTTTATGTTTCTCGAGCACTGTTCTTATTTGGAAATAATGGACATTTACTTGGCTTCCCAAATAACTCGATGGAGTATGGATCGATGGCGTCTGTAGTACTTCAGAAAAGAGGGGTTTGGAGGACCACAATACAAGATAAGAAATGGAGCCTTATTGTGGGCGCTGGAGATTCTTATACCAGTTGGCAACCAAGATTTTGGGGCTTTTGAGGGGAAATGCGTTTGGAGGAAAAGCGATACTGTGAAGCATGGATTTTTCCCATTAAGTTGTCAAATCGGTCGTCAACAGACTTTGAGGATATAAGAGAGGTCCAATTTAGACTCTCAAGAAAGTTGACACCTTCTTGACGGCAGATGGAATGAAGAAGCGCCTGAAACTCGTAGGGGGGTAGGATTGGGCATTGGTCACCAGAGGGATGCAGAGGCAAAGTTGGTGATCAGAGTCATCATTATATACAACGTCTGTATAGAGATTGCAGGGAGAGATATTGAGAGACCATATTGTCGAGAAGAGTCCGTGTCGATCGAGAAGCAGGGAAACAAGCCAAAGCATGTGAATAGATCCAGACATCGTTTGGGTTTTTGGAGTTTCTCAGGAAATCAATGTTGAAGTCACGCATAATAATTACACTATTATGAGCAGCAGCCAGTATAAAAAGGCATTCAATTTTCGATTAACGGTCATTATTCACCACTTCACCTACACATCGATTCTTCCTCCGACTCCGGCTGACTAATGAGCAGCAGAAAGTTTGCTAAGGGCAAGTTCGGGGGGGGGGGGGTTGTTGAATAATATGATAAGATTGCCGCGTGGCGGTCGACAGACCGAGAGGACGGTTAGATCGGGTAAATGCTTCCAGTTAGGATTGGGAATTCTCACCGCTGCTAACTCAGTCATTTTCGGAGGAAAGCTGGGATAATTCTGGTAGTGGGATTGCTGGGTGATCATCTCTGACATAGACGGCAACGCCTCCTCCTTTGGTCGAGGAGCGGCAGAAAAACTCAGAAGTATAACCTTGAAGAGAATATTGAAGTGCCTTGTCAGGAGAGAGCCAGGTTTCAATAAACCCTAGTATATTTGATGATGCATTGGCTGCGAGAAGTTCGATTTCAGGAAAGTGTTTTAGGATACTGCGACAGTTACAGAAAAAAATGTGGAAAACGGAGGAAAGGAGCGAGGGGGGGCTTCGTTTACGTCAGCCGAAGGACTGGCGTAATTTCGCTGAAATTACTGGAATTTCGCTGAAGGTTTTACCATGGATAGGGGATCCAGGTGCGGGAAGCGGGAGCGGAGAATGAAGGAGAGGCGCCTTCCGTGGGAATCGGCGAGAATTAGGACAGGTCTTGGAGGGAGTAATGAGGTGCTCGCGGATCTTGCCGAGATGGGTGAGTGGGTAAAGAAACAAGAAGATCGTGCAGGTGAGGAGAAAGTGTGTATATGATATGGAGAGGATTTTTATTGTTGCTCGAGACCATAATGGGGACGTGTGGGGTCATAATCATCTTTGGGGGGATCCAGGGACGATCCGGGAGACAAGAGGTCAAACTTGTTTGTCAGTTGTACCACATTAATGCCCGCAAAACTAGTGGTGTTTGATGGGATTTATTGCAGGGAGAAACTGGATATTGTATTCTGTGAGACTGATGAGCTTTGCCTCTATCTCATCACGTTCCTTCGAGGGGAGAATAGTTTTTATTTTCCAACGACTGAATCCGTTCTAGAAAGCGGGCTTTCTCAGTCTCGAGAGCTGAGACTTTGTCAGCTAGTATGTGTATAGATTTTATCACCAATTCGAGTGTTTAGTGCGCTAAGAAGTGAGGGACGCAAGAGGAGCCCTGAGAGGGGGAGTGAGCATGCCTACCAGTTGAGGGGTCACACGGATTACTGCTTTGGTGAGGTTCATTAGGGTACATGTCAGAGACGTGAGGGAGACAGCATCTGCAGGAGCTAGTCGGAGGTAGATTGTGATGCACAGTGCATGGACTAATTTTTGGCCAGGCAGGAGTGACGTCATTCGGGTCGCTCAAAAGCGTGAAAGAGGTGAGCGAAGCAGGAGAGTTGGAGAGAGATGGTTTTACTCTTGGATGGACGAAAGTGCGCTCTTCATGACGAAGTTGTGCAGTTGCACATGCGTGGACGAAACTGCACACTCCATGACTGTGTGCAATATCGTCACGAAAAACGCAATTACGTCTCGATTGATATACATAGAGGGCGCTGAATTTTTCTTGTAACTTCCCGATTCCCCCGACAGGTGGAAGAAACGTTATAATTTCACGGGCGTTTTTGTCTCGTAAAAACATTTTGACTCCATTTGAATTCAATTTTTCTATTTGACTCTCCCGCTTCAGGACTGTACAGTGGATTCCGCTTTTTTGAGACACGTTGGTTCCAGGTCAATTTGCCCCAATTAAGCGGCTGCCCCAATAAAGCGAACTTACCTCATAGGATAGTAAGAAACCCAGACACAAATGTCCTTTACTTGTGCAAAAACAAAAATTACGATTCACGAAAATGTCCTCATAGTTGCTTGTTTCATATCCGAAAAATCTTCTCTAAAGCATCAATGCCAATGTCCACTATCATCCAAACCCTTCTCAATAAAGTA